CAGATGTAAGTGATTCCCCACTTGACCCACATGGAAAGTCAATCTCACCCATGTCCTGCTGTTGATTCGCCTCCTTACAAAAGAGAAAGCTGGGAAGAATGTGGGTAGAATGACTGCATCCTGAGATCCAGGTGTTACTGCTTCTTTCTCATCATTTAATGTTTAAGTGGAACTTGCTGGTGAAAGTTCAGATAGACTGTTTGCAGCAAATCCAAGTCCCTTGGTCAACAAGAAGTATAGGCTTATAGTGCAGGCCTTTAACTTGTGTGGGTTTTTTTTAAAAAAAAATAAATTGACAAATATTGATTAACACTTCAGCTGTCTCCTCAAAGACGTTTTGACCTTTTTTATTCCATTTTCTTTGTCTGTTAGTGTGTCATGGAACAGTGTCCTGTGTAAGTAGCAGAACCCGTGAGAGCTTTCTGTCCTTTCTGTGGAGGGAAGTCTGTGTAGAAGGGGTGCCATCTCCCATGCTTAGAAAGGCTGTGCACTTTAAGGCGTAGTGGTCAAGAGCTTGGGCTCTGGAGGCCGACAGCCTGGTCTTCATCCAGGCTTTGGTATGTACTGGCTGTGTGATCTGGAGCAAATTACTCAACTTCTAAACCTCACTTTCCCCATCTGCACAATGGGGATAATGTTAGCATCTGCCTGGGGAGTGGTGGTTGTGTGATTAAGATGGATTTAAAGAATTTTGCACTGTGCCTGTCACCTACTAAATACTGAATAAGGCCAGCTATGACTACTTCCCTTTTGCTCAGGGTGCAAATTTCCTCTGGGTATCCTTAAGTGTTCACATCTAGAACACAGGAAACTGTATAGGACTGCATAGGACTCTGTGGAAACTTTTAAATTGGACTTCCTTAGAGTTTTTGGAATTGAATTATTCCAAAAAAGAGCTGAAAAGAAAGCAAACTTTAACCCTAGTTTCTTGCCTGCCTTCCAGGCTGTGTCTTCATTCTGTTCTTGAGTGTAGCTGCTCCAACAAATAGATTGACAGGGTACTACCGGTGCCATGTTTCTCTTTCTCTTTCATGGTGTGAGAACTCGCTGGAGTCACTTCATACTACCTTGCAGCTTGCCTCAAATATAATTCAAGTCTTGAAATGACTATCTGGATATGTACATTCTAGGAACTATTGGGGAAGAGAAACATCACTAGCAAATATTTTCAGATTTCCCCCCCAGTCTTGGACTCCCATGAAAGCTAAAAAGGGATGGTAAATCTATAGTTTAATCACTTGGGGTCCCTTACGGCCCTCCTGGTTGTGTTTGGGCTCTGGTAAGGTAAGCTAGTATGCATGTTCATAGCAGATTCAAATGCCCCTAGAATGGCACTGACCAATGGCCACCCTTATTTTTAATAGTCATCAGACAGTGCAGTTTCTCAAACAACTTTAGCGGGGCATTCTACACTTCTCTGCACTGTAATAAGCAAAAACAATTTTGATTTCATCTTAGAGTAATTAATCTGAACTTCTCCTTCTGGGATGTAAAATAGACTAATCTTCTATAGTTCTTTGAACATTAGATTGGAAAGAAAATGCCCTAAACAGTTTGCTTAATTAAATCCTAAAGAGGTGGTACAAACTTCATGATTAATTGAAACATGCATATTTTGACTGATGCATATTTATATGACATTATCATATGATAATTTTTATCATGTTATACAAACTATTTGGGAATGTGATTTGATGCTATAAATATTTTGCATTTATTGTTGCATTGTTCATTACGAAAAATACATAGACTAATGGTGGTAAGGAAAAATCTGTTGCATGACTCTTCTTTGAGGTAATCTCAAGTCTCTAACGGCACAGACCTTGAGCCTAAATATAAGGCAGGAAATCAGGTTTTCCCTAGTTTGAAGAAATATTTTTTAAATAAAGAAATTTAAAGCAGATCAAGTTAGAAAACCTGAAGTGCTGGGGCCTTCTATTTTGCCAATGGAAAGCATGTACATAAGTCCCAGGTTTCAGGTAAAAAAAAAAAGTGGTTGTTGAAATAAACCAATCCCTTTGGCTTTAAGCACTTAAGAAAATCTTAATTTTCTAAGGGCGCAGTCATAGTTCTTAAGATGGGGCACCCTTTCATGTCTGATGGCAGAATTTTGAGCTCTGTTTTAGCTGACAAAATTAATGCATATAATCACAGATCTTTCTTAGTTTCCTAAATATGCTATTAATAAAAATGACTTTTATAAGACTAGAGTACCTGAGATGTCTAAAAGTGTTTTCTTGAGCCTATGGAATAATCCACTTATCAGACCCTTCTTTGGAGCATTAGCTTTTGATGACAGAAAAAGAGAAACCTGATGGAACTTTTCCAAAGTATTTGCCGTTATGAAGCAGAGTTTTATGAAAAACGGATGGGAATACTGAATTATTTAACAAGACAGATGCTAACCACCATTCTAAGAGTTTTCCAATTTCCAGATACAAAAGTGCACGATTTCTTTTGTTTCATCTTCCCATGTTGTTATTTTGTAGTACAAATGATTTATTAAAATAATCTGCTTTAAAATTCTACTTTTTTGTTCACTTGTTAGGTCTGTTGTTTGTAAGAAAGTATCCTTGCCTTCCCTTAAAAAGTGACAAATGGTGTGACTGGTGGTGATGGAGCGGAGCAGGAGGAAGACCCGCGAGCCGCCTTTGTGCCCGAGCACCCTTCCTCCGGGCGGGCCTGAGCGCAGGCTGGGCGCCAGCCCTGCTGCAGCATTGCGCTCTGTTCTTTGTCATCTCAGTTTTAGTCCATTAGAGTTAAAGACCTAGGACTAAAAATCTTATGTTTTGTTTCCCAAACCAGACCATTTAAAGGAAGAAACAAGGAGGGGAACCTAATGCATGTCCTAAAGTTCCTTCTTGGGAAGTGAGTTCTCCTCCTTGAACGCTGAGGCCAAATAATTTCCCCCATAAAAATCTTTTTTCTTGCAGATTTCACAGGAATCAAGCTTATTGCCAGCGGATTATTTGTGAGAATTCTGCTGTATCATTTTCTTTTTCAGGAATTTAAGGTTTTGAAGCAGCTAATCGATTGGGAAAATCTGAAACTATCAGTGATAGTGAATTTAGTAATGACAGATGATTATTTAAAAAGTATAACATTTCTAACCTAATTTAAAAAATGCCTCCATACTTTAAGGTAAATTATAGAGTTTTATTAATTCTTCCTACCATGTAGAATGCCTATACACAGATGCCATATTAGAGGTCACATAAAATACAATAAAACTTTCTTCAAATAGAACAAAGTATTAAGTACAGTAATTGTATGATATTTTAACTCATGTGGACTCTATTTAAAGAAAATGTTTGATTAACATCAAAGGTCGTTTTTACACTGTCTCTTTTATTATAATTAATAATAAGTCACAATATATAATTGTAAAATAAAAGTGATGATTAAAAGGACAGTATTCCACCAAGGTAAATAAAATACTGCCCATGGTTCTGAGTGACGATGCTCAGGGGGAGAAAAGCCATATCACTGCGCTTCAAATTAGTTTGCTTCTAATTTTGCAGGCTGATGACCACACTGCCTCAAACCAAATCTTTCCCCTGGAAATGGAATGATTGCATGACAGACTCTATGAACCATGAATATGTCAGCAGCTCATGGACCAGGCCTTGCTTAGCAATTAGTCTTTGGGGGATTTTACTCAGGAATCAGACAACACTATACCAGAGCTTGTTGGGGAATTTTGTGATTACCATTCATGTCTGGAGCATGAGTCTGGGTTAGTACCGAAAAAAAAAAAATCCATCGAGGACAAAGAGCCGTGGCTAATAGTGGCATCAGTCAGACACACGTCCATTGGGAGAACCAAGGAAACTCGGGAGGTAGCGAAAGCCTAGAGGAGGCAGCGAGGAAATAGTTCTTAGACTTCTACTTAAAGTCTCCTTTTAGTCCCCCACCGAAGTTTCCTTTCAGTCATTTGAATGTCACTGTCACATGTTTGTCACAACTTTTTATTATCTGCACTGTAACTTACTGTTACATTTTATTAACTGACTCACTTTAAAAAGCCTTCATTTGTTTTAAGCAGTAGTATTTGTGATATCATGGACTTGTCATACCACTTGTTTGTTTTCTTTTCTTACAAAGGAAAAGAAATACAATATTTTAAATGTTGGAAATATTTGCATACCACCTAACATCATTTTGAGCATCGCCATGGTGCGGGTGACAGGTCCCACTGGACCTGTGAGGACCACCAGCCTGGTTAAGAGTGGCCTGGTTAAGAGTCGCTCCGGTCTCATGGCTGACACCCCGTGACTATTCCTCCATCCAGGGACCATGAACCACACACATCTCACGGAGAAGAATTTAAATCAGGCCCCCGCCCGCCTGGGGACCCCCATGTGGGAAGGCTGCATCCCAGGAGACCACCGAGTTAGCCAGGCAACTGCTGTTCTATCAGCAGAATGTGGCCACTAACATCCTTCCCTTTTTGACTGACCGTATCATTTGGGAATCATTCTATTGCAAGAGTAAACAAAACCTCATATCATGTAACAGCAATAGGGAACATGCCAAGCTTGAGCCTGGCTCCTGACTGTCAAGGTTCACATTAGGACATCACATATGTGGGTGTGGTGTCCCTACCTCCCCCCCCCCAGTGTAGATTTTGTAGGCTCTCAGCAGTACCTTTGAAGACACGGGTCACTTTACAAGATTCATTAGTCCTGAGCCTGCTTTAACCAGGCAGAATCAGCATTTTTACCAGGCTAAGCGGCCCTAGGAACTCTCATGGCTCTGTCGTCATGATCTGGTTTTTAAGGAAATGATGTCTATTGGAAACTGAAAAGCCAACTGGAAAAAAAAAAAAAATGGAAAAAGAAAAAACCTCCCCAACACACCGGCTATTCCGCTGGGTGAGAGGCGGCGAGGCGCGGAGGCTCGAGTCAGACCTCGAGCAGCCCTTTCAGGTTCAGGGGGTGTCTGAGTTTGAAGGGGTGTTTGCTTCTGATGTGAACATTTTTCTTATACTTTTATTATAGAAGATGATGTGTCAAATGTACAAATAATGTGTGCCTGGTGCCAGAAAGTGGGAATCAAGCGCTACTCCCTGAGTATGGGGAGCGAGGTGAAAAGCTTCTGCAGCGAGAAGTGCTTCGCGGCCTGCCGGCGCGCCTACTTCAAGAGGAACAAGGTA